TTTGGCCGTACAAGCGTATTTCGAAGATTTCTTGGCCTTGTGCCAATGATCGATCATTCGACGCGTTCTGGAGGCCTTTTGCTTGGCCTCAACTGCTGCACAGGCGGCCTTGTAGGCGGCTTTCTTGGTCTTCTCAAAGTCCTGCTTGGCTTCCGAAAGCTGACGATATAGACTCTCTACGCGATTCTTGGCCGCTTCCAGGAGCTGGGTTTTCTCGGCCAGCTCCTGCTGTGCACCATTTGCCACGCTCTCAATGTTGACCAGATTCGCCGTGAAAGCGGCCACCAGACGCTTCATCTGGATGAGCTGCGCCTGCGATTCCGCTGCCGCTTGGGCAGCTGAATTGGCATTGGCCTGTGTGCTCTGAAGGGATGCGGTAATGTCTGCGACGACGGCATCTGCTTCGGACACTTCCTGATGCAGTTGCTCCACAATTTGCTGTTTGCCCGCGAGCGCTGCCTCTGCGGCGCGAGCGGATTGAGCCGCCCTCTCGGCCAGCTCCTGCTTGACCTGCGTGGCAGCTGCCTCTGCGGCGGCCATTTGTGCATCACTGGCAGCCCTCGCCTCCTGCGCCGCCTTCTGTGCAATGTTCGATGCCTTGGTCTTGGGGTCGCTTCTTGACAACAGATTGCTGGCTTGCGATGGAGAGCAGCCCTCTTCGGAGCATCCCGAATTTGAGTCCGCGTACAAGCTGGACTTATCTGCTCCCCCAACGCCCCTCTCGTCGGATTCGACATAGCTAAAGCTATCCAACAATCTGAACGCCTGCAGCAATATGAGCAACAGGAGCAACACTTTCCGTTGAAGCATATTCCAAGCAATTCAGCTTTGACTCCGTTCAAACTCATTTGGACACTCAACGCAACATTGACTATGTTTTCATATACTCTGTTCAATATATTCCTGATCAACATCGGAGCTTACTCTGAAAAAATAAACGGTTCCTATTATTCCAGGCAAGCCTTTGCGATTGGCTCTTCCTTTTGGATTAGAATACAACCGATCAGCTCATCAGATCGAGTTGAAAATCTTTGTTGGGAAATTACGGCCTTAATATTTATATTATGCGAAAATATCTAGTAAAACCAGTTCTGTCCCGGTTAACCCCTCCCGCTGACCTAAGCGCGGATCCCTCAATCGACCCATGCCAAACTTTCGACGCGACAACTCAATAGGAGCAGACCCTGCTCTGGCACCCAAGCTAGCTCAGTGTAATAGTTAGTAAAGCGCTTTTACCTGTAGAAAATAAACATATGAGCGTGCATCTTTATTGTGGTATATAATTAAAGAGAACCCTGTGCGGGTCCACCGGTTCGCCGTCGACTCCTTTGCGCCTTCTGCTTGGCCTCGACCGCCGAACAGGCTGCTTTGTAGGCGGCCTTTTTGGTCTTCTCGAAGTCCTGCTTGGCCAAGGCGAGCTGGCGGGCTAAGCTCTCCACACGATTCTTGGCCGCTTCCAGCAGCTGCGTCTTCTCGGCCAGCTCCTGCTGCGCGCCATTGGAGACGTTCTCGATATTGGCCAGATTCGAGATGGATGCCTGCACCAGTTGCTTGAGCTTGCCGAGCTGGGTCTTCGCCTCGTTGGCCGCATCATTGGCCGCTACTGCGTTCGCCTGTGTATTCTGTAAGGAGTTACTTACATCCTGAACGACAGCCTCCGCCTCGCGGTGCTCCCCATCCAGTTGTTCCATGATTTGCTGCTTGCCCGCCAGAGCTGCCTCGGCCGCACGCGCCGATTGGAGCGCCTTCTCCGCCAGCTGAATTTTGACTTGTGATGCGGCCGCTTCCGCGGCTGCCATCTGTGCATCATTCGCCGCTTTCGCCTCCTGCGCCGCCTTTTGTGCAATGTTCGAGGCTTTGGTCTTGGGATCGCTGCCACCTAGCGACGACCCGCCGCCACCGGGGCCGCAGCCCTGCTTGGGCTCACAGCCCTCCATGCCACCGCCGCCCTCTCTTCGGCCAGATTCCTCGTCCAGCCGCACCATTTCTGGATAAGCATCGAGGTGACGTTTGCTGTAAGCCTGGCAGCCTACGTTAGGTACAAGTCTGGCTAGCATTAGGAAGAGCTCTACTGACCTTCTCGCGCGGCCTCATGATATAGCTCTGGGATATACAGCCGCAGTTAAGAAGCAGAAATATGGATATATAGAGCATTGTGCCGGCCGTTCTGAATACATTGTTTCCATATGTAAATGTCAAGCCGTCTGAAAGTTAAATCTTTTTTAGAATATACTTTCAAATCATATGGACTCAATAGGGAGTGGAAGTCATATATTTGTAGTCTGTATACGGATCTTCACCTGTTGAGACTTTTAAAGAACTTAATGAATCACCTGTTGACATCTCTGTATCCCTTTTCTTCACATTAAGATTGGGCCAAGTGGCTTTCGGGCAGCTCTTGAGCTCTCGATGCGGTAGCCCATCTAGACTAGTTCGTAGGAAATACTCTGACTGTCACAATCTACATAAAAAATATAAAAATATATATTCATGTTAAATGTAATAATTGCATAATTAACATCAGCATAAACAAAACAATCCAATAAAATTGTTGTTGCCACAGACTTGGCCAGTCGGCCGTTCAGTAGCGACTCAAGCGTCGACTCCTTTGCGCCTTCTGCTTGGCCTCGACGGCGGCACAGGCTGCTTTGTAGGCGGCCTTCTTGGTCTTGTCGAAGTCCTGCCTGGCCGCCTGCAGCTGGTTGGCCAGGTTTCCGACGCGATTCCTGGCTGCTTCCAGCAGCTGCGTCTTTTCGGCCAGCTCCTGCTGCGCACCCATCGAGACGTTCTCAATGTTGGCCAGATTCGTGGTGGCCGCCTGCACCAGCCGCTTGAGGGCGGCCAGTTGGTTGCGTGCCTCGACGGCGGCATCGTTGGCGGCAGCCGCATTCGTCTGCGTATTGTGCAGCGAATTGTTCACCTCCTGGACAACAGCCTCCGCCTCGTGGTGCTCCATCTCCAGTTGCTCAACGATTTGCTGCTTGCCAGCCAGAGCTGCCTCGGCCGCACGTGCCGACTGAAGCGCCTTCTCGGCGAGCTCTACTTTCACCTGCGAGGCAGCAGCGTCCGCGGCTGCCATTTGGGCATCATTCGCCGCCTTCGCCTCCTGCGCCGCTTTCTGTGCAATATTTGAGGCTTTGGCTTTGGGATCGGTCTTGCTTAACGGATTGTTGCAACTATGGCTTCTGCTCTCCTCGCAGCCTTGTCCCTCTCCGCCGCCTTCTTTTTTGCCACCTTCCTCATCCAGCCGCGCCAAATCTGGATAGATATCGAGGTTGCGTTTGCTGTAAACCTGACAGTTGGCGTTTTATTCGAGCATGATGAAAACAAGGCGCTCTACTGACCTTCTCGCGTGGCCGGATGATATAGCTCTGGGATATGCAGCCAATATTGAGGAGCAGAAATATGGAAATATAGAGCATTGTGCTGACCTTTTCGAATTCATTGTTATAATCCGCAACTGTCAAGCGCTTTTATGTGTTTTAAGTCTGAAAGTTAAAACTTTTTGTGAATACGGAAAATGAAACTATACTTTCAAATCATGTGGTTCATCATAATATCGTCTGTTACACAAATAGCATTCGCCCGTGACTACTCATCCCGCAGGGATCTGCGGAGAGCGGCGCGACACACGCGCACCAAGCGCCTGCTATCCCATGACAGCAAAGTCGTCGACGACAGAGAAGATGGGGCGAAGAGCGAGTCCAGCTGTGACACGCCGCGACCCAAGAGCAAAAGGATTAACATGAAATCCAACGGCACTGGCATCGCAATAAAAGCGGCCCTGGAGGCAAAGCAAGCCAACGATGATATGGCGAATGCGGTGAAGATGGCATCCGATCGGATTAAGCACGAGTATGCGGAGAAGGCGGCGGCAGCTGCCAAGGCGGCAGAGGCAGTGCTGTCTGGGAAGCAGCAGGTGCTCGAGCAGCTGGAGATGGAGGTGCGCGAGGCTGAGATCATTGTGCAAGAGGAGACGCAAGAGCTGAGCTCAGCGGAGGCCAACAGCCAGCTGGCACTCAAAGCACATCGACAGGCCCAGGAGGAGATGAAGCTGCTCATCGCTGCCCTAAAGCTGTCCAGAGAGAACCATGACAGCGCCGAGCAGGTCTCCGCGGCCTGCCAGCAGTCCCTGATAGATAAGACCAGCCTTCTGGATGCCGCCCAGAAACGTGTTGGCGTCCTGCTGCGCCAGCTGAGCGAAGCTCGCAACGACTTCGCCAAGACCAAGAAGGCCGCCTACAGGGCATTGTGTGCGGCCAACGAGGCCAAGCAGCGGATTGATCGCCTCCAAGGCTGATCAATGTGAAGAATAGTGTATCCAAATGATTTTCTTCTCTTAATCTACAGTCATTTACATATATATTAATATATTTTTTTACTAATCTATACTTGAATCAAAAACAATAGAAATCTCTTCATTTGAAGTGGAAAGGCTAACAGGGTCAAGGGATTGTCCCTTGTGCTTTTTTTCGAGTTTTCTTTAAGTACTTCCCATAAGATTGAAAAACCTTGAGATTTTGACTGTTGTCAGTCATTAAGTAATTGATTGAATGGCGACTGTTCTAAAGTCAAAAATTCAAAATACGTCCCCGAAACAACATATTTTTAAATATGCAAGTAAAATTTGATCCAAATCGGTTGTAAATAACAATTAATTCGAATAAAAGTAGATTTGGAATTACCGGGTTTTATTTTTTCGCCCAGAATGCTTCAAAGTGTTATTTCCAAAATCCTAAAAGAAAATTCAAAGCAACAACAAAAATGGGATGCTTACAAATCCCAGTGTTGTCCTTGAATCCGTTCGATATTGTTGGAAATATTCACCTCATTGGTTAAAAAACGGATGTACAAAAGGAGTGAAGAATTAAATGTATCTGCAAAGTTCAATATATCTGCAAACACATTGCAATAGCTCGAAAATTATTTTGCAGTTAATTGTTACGCCCTTGGCCCGACTTATGTTCGGGTTGTTTGCGATCAAAAGAAAACTACCTTGATTAAAATAATTTATTCTGTAGTTTATTAACCTTTTTTCTTTAGGGAATAAAAATATAAAATTCCTTGACGTCGGGCAAAAAGTGCCCGCGTCTGAATGGCTGCCAAAAATGCTGTGGAACTTTGCCTGTACATTCGTATGCTTTCTAGCTTTCGTGTGATTCCGAATCGAACAATGTATGTTTTATAGATAATGGTTGATTTCTCAGATCCAATTTTGACAAAAATACAAATACAATACGAGCTAACTGTAGGCTTAACTGAATCAATTCATATATATATATATATATAAAACTAATAGAATACAGGGGAGCTGCTTAATAAATAAGGATTACTTTTAAAAGCCGGCAACAAGAGGCTGACATTACGCATTAAAAATATATTAAACAATTGTACACATTTAAACTAATCATAAATTTAGAACACAATATTGTTTTTTGCGATTACAAACGAATTTTACAATTTACATGGACACATTTCAAAGCACAATTACAATTTAATAAGAATTACATAAATCAAATGCACGAATACGTGCTTAATTATAAATTATAATTATGCATTTGTATTTGTATTTGTTTTTTTGTTGTTTGCTTTCTTGTTTTTACAATTAAATTGGTGTTGTCTGTTCACAAAATAATTTCAAAGGTGATGCTTAGTTACTTGTTGGTTACCCAATACTTACACACATATGTATGCGTGTGTGTGTGTGTGTGGCATGTTTTAATATATGTATTAGGTTAGGCCAGTGGATTATTAGTATCTGTAATAGTTAGTTAGTTCAATTGCAACAAACGTAAATACTCAATTTGCATGTGTGCATAATTCTACATAAAATAGTTTCATCTGTTTTTTGTTGTTTTTTTTTTTTTTTTTTGCATTTTGCTGTATGTTTTAGTTTTTTTCCTTTTCTATATACTTAGAGATTTGTTACGTCTTATTCATATTCTTTTAAATTACCTAACACTTTTTGTATATATTTACAATCTAACACAAGCCCCTGTAAATAATCATTAAATGGTTGCCCAGCGATTTGGACCTAAACGGGTTGATAAACCGACCAAGCCGCTAACGCTATTAGTTACAATACATATATATCTTGATCTTGATCGTGTGATTTGCAACATACTCATGACCAGGTTAATTATGTTAATATATATATATAGGGTATATATATATAGAATCTTTCAAGCCTTAATATACTGAATTTCATATATGGTAGCTAATACATATGTATACATATTCAATGCATAATTTAAACATATTTCATATACAGTTAAACCATCTTCGCTGAATACTGAAATCATCGAGTTTTCCCATGTTTATGTATGTGTGTATATGTGTGTGTTTGTGTGTGTGTGGGAGTGTAACTATGATTTAGATACACGTTTATAATTATATATCGTACATTTTATATATCAATGGGTCTGCCATATATGGGAAGCGTATATGAGCACGTTGCATAATATTGTAATGAATGTAAATATATATTAGTTGTATAAATATATACGAATATGTATAGGATATATATGTGTAATATCAACGTTTTAACTCTTACATTTACAACTGTTGTATCTAGCGTATAATTAAAATGTATGCTATCCAAATGAAAATGTATCACGATTGACCAAATTTTAGATCGAAATAACCGTTAACTACACATGTCTCCTCTATGCTGTATTCCTTCGATGAGTATGTTTCGGATGGGCGCACTGCACCCATCCAAATTGGTTGGATTATCTAGGGTAACGCCTAGTTTAAGTACTTGCGGCAACGCTTTGAGCCGCACGAGCAGGGTATTTTTTCATCCTCGAACGGGAACTTGTAGTCGTAGGTCAGCTCCTCGCCCTGCACGATGCGCCGCAGGGCAAAGATGATGATGTGCTTGTGGCCAAGTATGTCAACGACCTTCGAGTAGCAATTCGGCTGCAAAAGACAAAGCAATACAAGATTAGCTGGCATTTCTAAGATATATCCCAGTCTCTTTAACTTACCTCACAGGAGTGATTGATAAAGCGCGCCGCATTGCCACGCATTGTGGCATCCACTACCAGATTGTCGTCGATCTTGAACATGTAGCAGCCAATGCCACGGCTGTCGTAATACCGCTCCCGCTTGTCGGTCAGCGTAGAGCGTATCAGTTCTCCGGCGTACTCGATAACCATTTCGCCTGTGCGATTTGCAATTTAATAATAATTAATTTCAATTAAGGCAGATCTGGACCGCATCACATACCTGCTTCAATGTCCTTGGTGCAGTAGAGACCGCGTCCATGGATGTGCGAGCGGAAAACGCCCACGTAATCCTTGTAGGTCTCCTTCAGCGTACGGTATTTCATGGCCATGGGCAGATTGCTGCCAGTTCCGCGTCTGCAAAAGAGTGTCGTGAATTATGAATATGTCTAGCGGATTGTTCGGAAAAGTCTGCGACCTACCTGGGCACCAGCTCGTTATCGGAGGGCTGCACAAACACCTGTATGGGCTGCTTTCGATGCCTGGACGCCAACCAGCTGAACATATCGTATTCGGAGCGACTGACGTATGGCTCGCAGCGTGCGCACTCATATGCATTCTCCTGCAGCTCTTCCTGATCCGAGCCGTAGTCTATGAGCGCCTGCGCATCCGCTCCAGCGCCAAGTGCTGCCGCATTGCTGCCAGCTGTGCTGGCCGCATGTCCGCCCCCGGCAGCTGTGGACACATTGCCGTTGCGTTTATGGTATTTGGGCGTGTACTTGACGCACTTCTCCACGCCAGGCAGCTGCTCGATCAGATACTTGAGCGCGTTCGTCTTGAGGCCAATCATTTGCACGCCGCTCATATCGGCCAGCGGACCTTCGGGCAGCGGCGTTAGACCATGAGCACGCCTCGCCACCTGCACAGCCTCGAACACCTTCTCCCAGATCTCCGCTATGGAGCTGGACTTGTAGGTGAAGCCATCTTCGCTTTGTATTTCGTACAGCAGATGTGGCCCGCTTATCTTCTTGGGGTCACGCATTGGTGGCGGCTGCTGTGGAGCAGCTGCGGTGGGCACCACATTGGTTGGCACCGTATTTGGCTGCTGTTGTGGTACATCCAGCTTGGGCTTCTTCAGATCCAGCTCGACGCCCGCCTGCAGCTGCTTTAGCTGCAACTCGTGAGCCTCGGCCATTTCGTTTATGTAGCTAGCCGCTGCCTCCACGGCTTCGGCGGTAGCCGTAAAGGTTTCATCGTCCGTGGATACTGAGCCGGCGGCAGTCGTGGCCAGGACATCCTCAACCATTTGCTGATATCCAGCGCTGGCTTCGACTGTTGTCGCCGTGGTTATGGAATCGGCACAGTCATCATTCGTCAGGTTGTCCAGAATTTTGCTGATCTTCTCCTTCACCGCCGGCTCCTCGCTGTCGGACATCTCGTGGTCGTTGCACGCCGATGTGGCCATCTTCAGGCTAAAGTCGTCGTCGTCGTCCTCATCCTCCTCGGCATCATCCACCTGACCTATTCCCTCAGCGGCGCCGCCGCCGCTGCCGTTCTTCATACTGGCATAGTGATCCTCGGTGTCCATAGGCACTGCCTCCACATTAAAGCCATGCTTCTCAAGCAGACAACTCTCGTTAGACGTAAGCTGAAAGCCATTGTCCACCACCATCTCCATATGCTGCTGCTGCTGCTGCTGCTGTTGCTGGCACGATGTGGCCTCGAGGAGCATCAGATCGTTGTGTTTGGGTTTTTCCAGCTGCACCTGCGCCTCCGACTGCTTCTCAAAGATTTGCTCGCCGTATATGGGCCCCTGTTGCGGCTGTTGCAACTGCAAAGTCGTTATGGAATTTGTCTGCTCTAGATTATCCAGTGTGATGTTGGTCTTTAGCTCTGTCTCGTAGCCAGGTGACTTCTGTTCCAGCTGCGCATAGCATTTGACTATGGGTTTTTGTGTGGACGCGCCCGCTGGCACCGGCTCCTCAATGGGCTTGGGCGGCGTTGGCGACTGCACCACGACATCGTTGCTCAGCGGCGTCGGTTCCTGGCGCTGTTGCATGGGCAGCACCCGATTCGTCGGCCGGCTGTTGATCGTGATCGTGCTGTTCTGCTGCGTCACATTGCTATTGCTGCTGTTGTTGGCGCTGGCCGCCAGCGGCTGCTGCTGCAGCGGATTGACCACATTGGTGGGCAGCGAATTGCTGGCATAGTGCTGCAATCGTGTGGCGTTGCCATTGATCAGCTGCTCCGCCGGCTGTTGCTGCTGTTGTTGCGACTGCTGCTCCTGCAGCTGTATGGGTTGCGCCTGCGCCTGCAGAGCCGGCGTGATCACAAACTGGGTAGCTGCCTGCGGCTCTGCTGTATTCACTATGCTGATAATGGGCTGCTGCGCGGGCAGCAGCTGCGGCATGGACAGCTGTTGTTGCTGCTGCTGATGCTGTTGCATATGTTGCTGTTGCTGTTGTTGCTGTTGTTGTTGCTGATGTAGTTGTTGTTGCTGCTGCTGTGGCTGCTGTTGCTGTGGTTGTGGTGCGGGCGGCAAACGCTGCTGCAGCAGCGCCACCTTGGCCACCTGGTTAATCGCCGCTGGCGACTGCTGCTGCTGGTGATGTTGCATCGATGCTGCTGACGTGGCCAGCTTGGGGGCCTGCTTCATGATCTTGGGCTTGACCTCCACCTTGTGTATGGGCCGAATCAGATTCGTCTTCTTCTGCAGCGGCTTGGAGGCAATGCTGGGCGGTGCACCGCACGTGCTGCCCGTCTGCTGGCCCGCCGCTTGCTTGTTCTTCAGCTCGTTCGCCTGCTGCTGGCGCTGGAACTGTGACGTCAGCTTCAGATTGGCATTGCCCGCCAGCTGTTGCTTTGGCTGCATTTGCTGTTGCTGCTGCTGTTGCTGTTGCTGCTGCTGCTGCTGCTGCTGCTGGATCACATTGGTGGGCAGCACCTTGTTCACCACCTGCGATTGCTGTGGTTGCGGCTGCACCTTGCTCAGCACAGAGATGGGCGACTTGTTTGCATTTGTATTGCGCTTCATCTGCGCCACGGGCGGTACTTTGGCCGTGACCACCAGCGGTGGCGCATAGTCTGTCGACATGGTCTGCTGTGTGGACGTTGTGGGCGTGGTCTGAAACTGAAAGCCAGCATTTTGCAGCAGCTGTGCGGTAGCATCATCGGTTGCCTGCGTCTGGCTCTGCTGCAGCCAGCTCGTGTTGCCGCTCGCATCCACCGCATTGTTGAGGACCACATAGCCAGCGGGCAGGTCGACAATCGGTTCGATCTTGCTGGCCTGGAACACTTGTGTCGTCGTGGCCGAGAAACTGGAATTCTGGCTAAGCACGCCCGGCATGGCCGTGGACACGAACTGCTGCGACGACATGACCGTGTTCTGGACAATCGTCTCCAGGCCGTAATACATGGGCTGTGTGGCCAGTATGACTTGTGGCGTGGCGGTGGCAAACTCCAGGCCTGTGGTGCCGCCGCCAGTGGCACCGCCCAAAATGAGCGGCTGCTGCGCCGTGGCGCTCTGTGTCCCATCTGCTCCGGTGGTCAGCTGCAAGGTCTGCGGCTGGATGAGCGTGCCAATGACCTGGGGCTGTGTCTGCAGCTGTCCGGTTAGCATCTGCAGGCCCGAGTTGGCCGGCGCCGTGGTCAACATCAAATTCCCGCTTGCGTCCGTTTGCAGAAATGTGGCACCACCGCCTGGAGCTGTCAGGAACGTAGGCGTGCTTGTCGTCTGCTGCGGCTTAAAGTCATTTGTTGTTGGTATCGAGATGTATTGCAGCGGCTGGTTCTGGCTGCCGTCTCCGGTCACAAACGAGATGATGTTCTGTGCCTGCGTCTGCGGCAACAACAGCTGCTGCGTCTGCGGCTGCGCATTGCTCTGGAAGAGTAGCTGCGGCTGCAGCAGATTTTGGCCCAACAGCTGCGTGGTGCCCCCATGTTGGGCCACTGTGATGGGCGTCTGTTGTTGCTGCTGTTGTTGTTGCTGCTGCTGTTGTTGTTGGTGTTGTTGTTGTTGGTGTTGTTGGTGCTGTTGCTGCTGCTGCTGTGGCTGGAGCTTGGCCTGAATAGGCTTCACTCCGTGCGCGGACTTCAGTTGCTTCTGTTTGGCCGCTGCCGTTGCCTGCTGCGCCGCCTTGGTGGCCACCGTCTTGAGCGGCTTACCCGCGTTCCGCAACGGCAGTACGATCTTCTTGTCGCTGTTGGTCGCCTGTAGCGTCTGGTATGTGGCCGTTGGCATCGCCGCCGGCGCCGCTGTCTGCAGCAGTTGTGTTGTAGCTCCATTGCTCTGCGGCAGCTGGATGAACTGCTGTGTGCCATCTGGATTTGTGGACAGGGCTATCAGCTGGGGTTGCGCCTGTGTGCTCATCGTCGGCTGTGTCAGGGTAAAGCCGCCGCCCAGATTGGCCGCCAGATTCTGCAGCGAGTTTGCATAGAGCTGCAGCTCATCGTTGCCATTGGACGTGGCCTGAGCCGCATTTGGCTGCGACAGAAAGAAGCCATTGCCCAGCGATTGTGGCTGCAGCTGCAGCGTCTGCAGGCCCTGCAGACCCTGCACACCGAACTGACCCAAGGTGGCCAGGTTCTGGACCTGTGGAAAGGACGTCTGCAGATAGTTGAGCCCGCCCGTGTTGCTGAGCGTGGCGGCGGCCAGCGCCTGCTTTTGCAGCTCATTGAGGCTCTCGGCGCTGAGCTGAGCTGTGCCCGTTGCGGTCTCCGACTCCGATTCGCTGGTGGACATCGGCTCGCAGCTGCCCAAATGCCGCTGAAATGAGTCGTAGTTGCGGTACGTGCATTGGCACCGCTCGCACTTCACCTGCCCCGTAAACTGGGCCGTGGACAGATTGCCATCGCTGCCAATGATACGGTATTCGGTAATGGAGTCATCCACGCCGTCCATTTGCATGATCTTCAGCTTGGCGGGCTCTTCACGCGATTCGTTCTTCTCGAACAGGCACTTGGCCGCACTCCACGTGAAGCTCTTGGTGCGCATGGTTGCGCTGCCCTCGGGGGGCAGCTCGCTGCTGCCGCAGACAGACTGACGCCGCGTGATGCCGGCAACGGTGGCCATTTCCTTTTTGCTGCGCTGATTGAGGCTGAGCAGCACACCCTCGGCTATATTCTTGGAGAGCTTGCGCCGCTTAAAGGCCGCAACGCTGCCGCCGTCCAACTTGGGCCAGGAGCGTGTCGGAGCCGTGGCCGTCTTCTTGAGAACCTCGCCACGCTGCTTCGCTTGACTGGAGCTGCGCGCCGCGCATAACATGGCATCCTCGACAGGATTGCTGGCTGGCCAGCAATTGCTTAGCTCCAGTTGTTTGCTCAGGCTGTTCGAGTTGCGCGTGTCCTCGTCACAGATGCTCACCGAACCGCCGCCTGTCTGGGATGTGGCCGTTGTGCCGTCCTTGGACTGTTCGCTCATGGCGAACAGTTCGGTCTTGTCGCCCAAATCTTCGTACATGAATATGTCCAGCATGGAGATGCCGTCGAGCAGCTCATGCGGCAAATCCTCGAATATGGCATCCTTTATCTCTGGCGGCAAAAGGTCCGCATTCTGTTGCGGCTCCTCCTCGGTATTCTCGTCGGCGGGCACATACGAATTGGGAAACTCCGCCCAATCCGTGTCCAGCAGATCACTGCGCGCCAGGCTGCTGTGCCAGCGGGCTATTTGCGCCAGGCCGAGCTGCACCAGCGAACAATTGGGATTGGTGTGATCGACCGTAAAGTTGCGTCCAGCATCGAGTGTCAGCGAGCTGGAGTAGCTGTTCTGTATGGTTGTGCGCACCGTGTACTCGACTATCTTCCAGGGTTCCTTGGAGGACCAATAGAGGCGGCTGCACAGGAAATTTATCGGCACAATCGCCTCAAAGGAGTCGGAAAAGCGTGGCACTATCGAGCCCAGCTGCCGCACCTCCAGCGAGCCAATGTGAAACTGTACCTTGGCGGGCTCGATCAGTTTCTTGCGCTTGCGATCGAGCTCCACGTAGACGGGACGCGACACCTCAAAGTTTGATTCGTAGGTGACGCTGGGCGAGCCATTCGCCTTGAGCGCATTGCGGGCATGAGCCGGGCAATACATGGACTTGTCGGTGAGGAATGCGCAATCGATGCTGCGCGCACAGGGATAATGATAGTGCTCGCCGCAGGACTTGACATTGCAGCCAACGGTGGCGCCTCGATTGCCGCAAACGGTGCACTTAATCATCCGGCCACGCGCCACGGCACTGTGCACATTCTGGAGCGAGCCATCGATTTCCTCAAACACCTCGGCGGACCACATGGCACAGTTGATGTGCACCCAACAGTCGTGGCCGCAGTAGAGCAGACGCGCCTCCTCGCCAGACAGACCCTCGCCGCTCTTGCGGCAAAAGAGACAGACGCGCGTATCCAGACGTGTCTTCACCGCACAGCCGCCCAGATCATCTACATCGTCGAGCGGTATGTCCAGGAGGCCAGTGCGCGGTGCCTGCGATGCGGTATGATGCTCGGCATATGTGGTCGGTGACTCCTCGAGTTCCTCGTAGCCGCACGACTCGAACATATCCTCCTCGAGCGCATCTGTGCAGGCCTTCGTTTCGTTCTGGAACCATGGAAACTGCTCGCTCAGCAGCTCCTTGTAGGCAATGTCCAGCTCATCACAGTTGCTCTGCTGTATCACCTGGCTCATGTCATAGTTGAACTCCGCCAGCGAAACGTACGCATTGCTGGCGATCTTCTGCTTGATGTCCACCAGGCTGAACGATGGCGACTGACTCAACGGCTGCAGGCAGCTGCATGGCACCGGCGTCGACGGCTTGCGATTGGTGCTGTGCTGCTCCTTGAACTCGTAGATATCGTCGCTGTTCTGGCTCTCACCATCGCTGCCCAGGCCGTTGTAGGTGAACTGCAGCGCCTTGGGCTGCAGCTTGCCCTGGCTATGAGCCTTGCCGGCTGCGCCTCCGGCTGAGCAGCTGCAGCGCAGCTTCTTGCGCGGACTTAGCTTGAGCAGGGCGCATGCCTGTCGCGACTTGCTGAGCAGCTTGAGCACGCTGTACAGGCTCGACTTGAACTCCTCCATGACAGCCTGACGCCACTCGTCGGCCTTGTTGCGGGAGACATCGCAGCGTCGCGCACACTTCTTGCATATGAACTCAATCGATTCGGGCAGCGTGCTCAGGAGATTGTACTGCTCGTCGCTGAGACCCTCGCATTTGGAGTGCACCCACTGGTTGCAGTCGCCGCACTCCATCATCTTCAGATCGAAGTCGTTGTCGTCGTAGCACTTCTGGCAGATGGGACAGAAGTTGCCCTTTTTGCGCAGCTTGAAGCAGGCGGTGCACATGGGCAGGTTGCCAACGAACTTGGACACCTTGGTGGTGGCGCAGGATTTGCACTTCAAACAGTTGACGCAGATGAGCGGCCGATCGGCGCCCAGCAGACGTTTGCTGGTGCCCAGACAGGTGCTGTGATAGTTCTTCTGGCATTTCTGGCACTTCACCTTCGATCCGGAGGACATGTTGCAGGTATAGCAGACGGTGCAGCGCGGGCACAGCCAGTTGAGCCGTTGCGTCAGCTGATTCAGCGCCGTATTGGTGGCCGCTGAGATGGCGCAGGCATTGTTCGATGTCTCCAACAGGCTGTTCATCAGCGTATCCTCAAACGAGCTGTGCTTTAGATTATATTCGTCCAGCACACAATACTGATGATACGGCTCGCAGCAGCAGGCGCAGAAGATGAGCGGATCCAGGCCCGTTGAGCCGCACAAAAAGCAGAGCGCACGCTGTGCCACCGTCTCCGTGACGATCAGACCGAAGCCCGTTTGGCACACCTCAGCCGGATCATAGTTCTCCCAGAAATCAATCGAAATCAGCGCCTTCAAACGATTAACCTCCTTGGCCAGCGCCCGACGACTTTGTGTTGCAGCCGCCTGACTGCTGGAAATGCTGCTGCTGACCTCGATGTTGCGCTGCTTCTTGGTGGCCACCAGACTGCTGGCAACTGAGGTCACGGTTGCTGTCGCATTGCGCGTGGTCACCTTGCCCTTGGACGAGCCGCTTGTGGCTGGCGTCTTTTTAGCCTCTGTTTGCGTATTTGACTTGCTGCTCTTCGACTCCAGCACACTCTTAACAGCTGGCTGGGCTTCGGCCGGCGCCTCAGTGGGCGTTAATATGCAGCTGGCACAATTGTCGTTTTCATCGATGATCATTTGCATGGGCTGCGGCGATTTGGGCTTTTTGATGATGACCTCCGGTGACGTTGTCGTTGTCGTGGTTGTTGGCGCTGGCCCGGCCTCTGCCGCAGCCAGTTCCTCTTCCTCGTCGCCAAAGGTGGCCAGCGGTTGCCCCAGCACTATAGATGCACTTCGGCACACGTGCTTTACACGCGGTCCCTTCAGATCGATGCGCTGCCGCTTCAAGTTATCCGGCACCGTGGATGCGTTGGCTGCCTCAGTTGTCTCCAGTTGGCTGCTGTTGGTTGCCGCTGAGCTAGTGTGAGGCGTGGAAGAGCTGGCAGCTGAAACTGTTGTTGTTGTAGATGCTGGTTGTTCATCCTTTTGAGTCTCTGGCGTGTTGGCCTCTGTGGTCTTTTTGGCGTTGGGACTAAGCGGCTTCTCGGCTTCCTGCTCCCTCGCCTTCTCCTTGTCCTGTTTGGCCTTGCGCGTGGTTTTACCAGGCGCAACGGCTGCTTCACTGGTGCTGGGCACGGGACTCAGGCCAAGTGCCTCCTTTGACTCTTTGGCTTTTTTATTATCGCTGCCAATTTTTAAGAACAACGGCTTTTCGAGAATGGCGGGACGCAGCAACGGAGTACCGCCAAAGGTGACATTGTTCTCGGCCAGCGGATTCGATTTGATGGAGTTCACTGCAGTCTCCGCGCTGGATTTCCATTTGATGGTTGTGCCGGACGATGCTGAGCTAGTCGGCGCCGTGAAACGCAAACTGGCCGTAGGCGATAACAGCTCCGGGCACTTGTCATCTTTGGGCGCCACCTCCTCGCGCATGCTGGCGGGCAGTATGGCACTCAAGCGGCTTCTGTGTCCTGCGGGCAACTGGAGTGTGGCCAGGCATTTCTTGAGCCAGCACGCCTTGCAGCGCTCCTTGTACAGCTTCTTGAAGTTCTTCAGCTGACTCTTAAGCGATAATATGCTGCAATTGCCACCTGTTGTGATGGGAAATGCTAATTAGAGATTTTTGAAATAGAAGGGATTTCATGAACTGCTTACCATCTGTGCACTTTAGCTGCTGGCCAGACTGTGCTGTGCTGGTGCTTGGGTTCGAGTGCATGGGCGTTGAGAGCTTGGATATCTTTGTCATTCTCGAGTTGAACTTGCGACAGACCTCACAGGCAATTACGCCGTATTTGCGTGCCAACGGCGCGTCCTTGTTATTAACTGGTGCCGAGCAAACGGCGCACGTCGAGGCCGCGGCAACAGCTGCATTATAAATAGAATCAAGTTGAGCAGTAGAGTCAATTAGAACATTTATTTGCATACCTGAATTGGCATTGTTGAGCGCGCCAAAGGATAAAACATTCGCTGACGTTATGGCACTTGAAGATGCGGGCAAAAGCGTTGTCGTGGGCAACGTGGGCTTGGCGCTGACAAATGATCCGCTCTTATCCGTTTGGAATTGCAGCCGCGGCTGGCGCAGCACAAAGCTGCTGTTTACCTTCGCGGTGGCAAAGCTGGTAAATGTTTCCTTGCCAAGCTTCTGGCTTAGCGCAGTTGCTGCAGACGTCGACGACGACGACGACGACGAGGCGTGCACCTCGCTGGCAAAGTCGCCCAGACCAAAGTAGTTTTTGGGCTTGGGTTTGCCATTGGCATCGCTCGGGCTCCTCTTGCTGCAAATGCCGCCCACCTCCAGCAAACGCTTGTTGGGCTTTATGATGCGCGATGAGCGCGTGCTTCGCTTGGGCAGCACAAAATGTTTATCCATGACCAGTTGCCTGTCGTCTGCCTCCTTTTCATCCACACTGGCCGTGGTTTCGGCACTCTTCTCGGACGCTGCCTCTTCGTTGTCCTCCGCATCATCGTCATCAATGTCCTCATCGTCCTCAATTGCATCGCTGCTTGCCGAGCTACAAATGAAAATTAACATGTGAATATTGAACTGCATAATTGATAGATGGAAATTGGCTTTTGGGATCTGATAAACCTGCAAGCAATCAATCATAAAGGGAACTGCTCAAAAATGTAGCATATTTTGGGGCTAGCACAAACTAGTTTGGATCGACTGAAGGTGCGAATAAAATATGTATACTGGATTATTAATTATGGCTTACCCGTCATCATCGTTGTCTTCAGGTGTTTTGTGCTGCGGCTCCTGCTTGCGAAATGTGACACCGCCCGAAACGGCGTCCTCGTCGTCGATTGGGGCGCCAAAAGCGCGCGACAGGCCAGAGCCGAAGAGATTTGTCGTGCTACTGCTCGATTCCTGTATGGAATTGGATGAGGCATGCACCGAGCGAAACTTCAGCGAATTGAGCTTATCGATGTTCGAGTTCTTGTTGAGTATCTTGGAAAGTATGGAGGGACGCACAATGAACTCGCTGCCCCTGCAATAGTTGAGCGGTCGATTCAGGCTGTCCTTCTTCATGATGGAGACGAGCGGCACACGATTGTCCGGATTGTAGAAACGCTTCACCACCGACTTGTCATCACTGGTTTCGAGTATGTTCTTGAAGGTGACCGTTTTCTTTTGCTTTGTCGCCGTTGGCGCCCCTGGGGCAGCAGCACTCGTGCTGCCCGCCACCGCATTGGGATTGTGATTGGGATTGGGACTGGAGCCACTCGATTTGACTGCAACGGCTGGGGCTTCCAGGCCGGCCTCATTGGCCATTTCGATTGAAGCCTTTAGCTGCAAAAACATAAACGTCAGGTAAGTCATAAAGGTTCCACTCGATGCCTCTTGGCCAATCAATAATGCATGCAGCTAAAACAAGTAAATGAAAATGAAAGAACAAACAGAACAAGTAAAAGAAAAACAACTACATGCATGCTCGTAAAAACTAAAGCAGGCGAATAAGCATGCAAAGCAAAGCAAAACAAAGCAGGGCATGGGATACACGAATCCAGGTGTGGAGTGCAGGAGACAGGGAGTAAGTGCAAGTTTTGGGGGAAAAACAAGTTATGTGCAGGTAGAGAGACATGCAGGCAGGCAGATAGGACTGGGCGGGAGGGCGTGCGGCAGGGTAGGGAGCAAAGCGCGAAAACGTCATAAGAGCCAATTAAGCAGGTAAGCGAGCAGCTCAAGCAATAGGTAGACAGGCAGGCAGGCAGGCGATAGGGTAACCACTAGTTAGTTGGCAGGCAAGATCCGGGGCGCATAATTTAGCGCCCGACTTGACGGGGTTCTTATTTACATTGCCTGAAATGGGGCAGAATAAGCAAATAACACGCAACACACAAAAGACGAGACACAACAAAAAAAAAAGAATCACTGAGTTAAATCGGCTTTAACTTATTTTTTATATGTATTGCATATAGATAGTAGGTGTGCGTGTGCGTGTGTGTGTGTTGCATTTATAAAGCGGGCGCGTAGCGTGTGTGTACAGTACAACATGAGCTTAAGAAATCCACTTACCATTGCAACATCTTCGCCAGCGCCTGCTGCCGCAGTCGCTGCTGCGTTTACTTCGACCACTTTTGTCTCGACGCTGGCAAAGGGATTCGCCAGCAGCAGGCCGGCAGCAGCTGCGCCTCCCCCGCCCCCAGCAATTACAGACAGTGGCGTCCCAGGCAAGCTTGACGTCGACGTCGACGTCGCTGTTGCTGTCAGCGTCGCACTCGCTGACGCCGTCGTCGTTGTTGTCGTAGGAGCAGCAGCAGCAGCAGCAGCAGCAGCAGATGATGATAATGATGATGCGGACGCTGAAGGGCAATTAAGTTGCAATTGCTGCTGCTGCTGTTGCTTGAGTTTCGACGTCGAGGGCAACATCACCTCGGGTCTGGCCAGATTCAAGTTTTTGAATTTTTTATTCCCTCCTTTGCGTGCACGCTGCAACGCACTGGGGCCAGGCACAAAGGCGGCGGCGGCGGCGGCGGCAGCGGCGGCTGTTGGCTTCTTGTCATTGCTGCTGTCATCGTCGTCATCGTTATTTGTGTCCTCGGTGCCATCGGGCTCGGCAGCAATGCAGTTATTAGGCTCGATTTGGTTGCCTTGATTTTTGCATTCCTTGAGCTCGGCCGGCGCTGTGGCGCTTTTATGGTGGCTGCCACCGTTTACATTGCCGCCATTTGTTGTCTTGCCGCCCGTGGATGAGCCATTGCCGGTGCTGTTGCCACCTTCGGTGGCTGCGGCATCCGACGCACCGCTGGACGCGCCTCTGTTGCCGCTGGTCGCGGCACCGCTTGGCGCATTATCATCGTCATCGTTATCACAATTGTTGCCCTTCTCCCGCGATGCCGAGGAGCCGGCGCTCTGTTCGCTCTGCTGATGCTGCTCGGTTGTTGCCGCTGTGGCTGCTGCTGCTGCTGCGCTCGCCGCCTCATCCTCCAATTGTAGGACACTTATCCGCTTACGATTAATCGACTTGGATGGTTTCCCGGGGAACTTGGAGCGGCCCATAATATACGCACTTGATGGTCGTTGATTTTTTGCATTTGCATTTGCATTTGCATTGGCAAATCGTTGCTGTGGCACAAACTTTCCTTGCAACGGCTGATGGCAATGCAAAAAATAAAAAGCCAAAAACAAAACAAATAAAACAACAATGTTCACGTGAGCCCAAAATACCGGTATTAGCAAAGAGCGACGCCAATAACAACAAAAACAGCATCGGCAGCAGCAGCAACAAGAGAAACAACGTCAGCCAATGGCTGTGTAACCAAACCACGTTTGGAATGCGTCAATTTCCCCCTTGAACGAACACTCACACACATACGCTCACACGGACAGCCGTGGACTGGCTGTTGTTGTTGTTGCTGTGGTTACCGATTCCACTCCACTCGACTACAGCCCACACCCCTCTTCGAAAAACGCTTCACGACTCGTTTCGTTAGTTCCTTTATTTTTTATTTTTTTTTGTTTAGCTCGTTTTCGCGCGCGTTCCTCGCTCCTTGCTTTGCAAATTACAACTACTAAAGCCGAATGGCCGAAGGTGACGTCGCAACGCGCGGCAACCGCTTCGTTCGCTTCGTTGTTTTGCTTACGCTCTCTTACGCCTCTCGGCGCACACACGAACGCTCTCTCGAGCGCTGCTCTCTCTCTCTCTCTCTCTCTCGCAATTTCTATTCGCTCTCTGGCGCTCCTGCCGCTGCCGCTGCGGCTGCGGCTGGCTCTGCTAAAGGTGCAATTGCAGCTGCCTTTGTCTCGCTGTTATTATTGGTTCGGCTCCTGCAGACGATTGCCACGTCTTGCGTGACCACCAGCACACACATACACATACACACACACACACACCACCTTTTCACGCTGCTACCACTAAATATATAGTTTACAACAAAAAAAAAATCGTCATAAGCGGCAATAACAACAACTTCTGCTGCTTCTTAGCTCCTTAGCACGCGCTCGTCTTTGTCGTTTATTACACAGACTCCTGTCGCGCCCTCCCTGCCTTCCACTCTCCTAACGCCTTATTTACGCTCTCGCTCTAGTCTGCGCTCTTGCGACGCGTTAATCGCGACGATGTTCCCTCCCCGTCAACGTTTCATCGACGTTTTAAGTGGTTTTTCTACTTCAGACTTGAACTTTTTCTACTTCGCAGGATTTTCTTGTTATTCACTGTTGTTGTTGTTGTTGTTGCTGCTCTGACTGCTGCTGTTGTTGTTGTTGTCGTTTCTTTTTTTTTTTTTTGCTAGGAATTGAAATTCTTACTGTTGTTGTTCTTGTTGTTGTCGTTGTTGTTGTTGTAGCCCACTACCCTGTTAAGTGGTGGGTTTTCCTTTATGACTGCCTTTTTACGACAGTTTTTCCTTTCTTTATGTTGTCTTATGGTGACGCGAGCATGAAAATTCTTCTTTTTGCGCGTTTAGTTTTTCTGCGTTTTGAGTTTTTGCTCGCCGTATTTACAATTTTCCACATTGCTGTACTTTCGCGAAACGTTGCTCAACTATGTTAACAGTTCGGCTGCGGCTGTCTCATCAGCAACAACATCATCATCAATATCATTATCATTGTCATTATCATTGCAATCATCTACATCATTACATACTAACAACACACTCACAATCACCGAACATATACTAGCACACTTTTTTCGCATTTATATGTTTGCGAGTGCGCGCGTGTGCATGCATGTGAGTCTGTGTTTGTGTGTGTGTGTTTTTTTTTTGTCTTAGCGCGATTTCTTGAATCTGGAAAAATTATTGAAAAGGGGGGAAAACAAAGTAGAAATTTATTAGTTCGCTTCGTCGCAGTTGGCAAACAAGTTGAGATTTTTACTGTGTGGGTGTAGTACGATGACTGTATGAATCTGTGTGTGTGTGTGTGTGTGAGTGAGTGAACATGTCTGTGCACGGGTGAATGTATTTCTATGCTACGCTGTTTTTGTTGTTGTTGTTGTTGTTGCTTGCAGGAGCTGCATGTGACGGTTAACCAGGTTTTGTGAACTACTTAATGGTTGATGGAATGAGAATGAGGTGAAAAACGTTCAACTGCGTGTGCGCCACACAACCGACCGCCCGACCGCCCACTCCTCCCTTCCTCCCCCCCCCGCCGGGCCATAATCCCACTCCTTCGATGACTTGTTATTGCTGTTCTCTTTATACTTTTTGTTTTTCTGTCGTTTTAACTAGCTAGTGCAATTGAGTTGGCCCGAGCATTGGCTGCATGCATGAGTCAGTCCGTCAGTCCGTCAGTTTGTCCGCTCGTCAGTTTGTCAGTTCGTGCTTGGTTGATTGTTTTTGTGCAAAAGGTGTTTGTATTTGCCTAAAGACACACGACACAACACAACACGACACGACACTAGGCGACCCGGTAGCGGCACCAATTACCACAACAGTTACTGCTGTTTCTGGCACCTGGCCTGGTCTGGCCTGGCCTGGCCAGGGCTGGTTAGCTGTTAGTTAGTTAATTATGCAGCTAGTCAATCATGTCAACTGTACTCCAAGTGCAGTTTTGCTTACTAGTTTGTTTTTCTTTTTTTTGTATACCCTGTACTCATCGAATTGGCTGAAGAGGACATGTTGTGCTCGAACCCAAAACTAGTAAACATAACTGTCCAGATATTAAAATTGACAATGCATTAGACGACCTCATAAAAATGTATCTTAATATTGTATTTAAGGTTTAAAACTCTAGAAATCTAAAGCTTGGCCTTTGCAAATGGTTTAATTTCAAATAAATTAACTGTTTATTGGTCTAAGATGCTGAATTTATCAAATCTTATGAGCATGCATATTCTTGTTTAGGATGCCGAGTTATGTAAACATTTTGTAAGCGTAAAATAAACACTCAAAATTATTTACTTTAGGACTGAGTCTCTGGGTGTCTGATTAAACTGTTTAGAGGGTATTAGCCAGTCGGGCATTGTTGTATTTATGTATGTAGCCTAGTCAATAAGTCAGTTTCCCATATACATATCGTAAAAATGTGAGCAACTGTGTCTGGTGTATTGCAATTCGAATCGCTCGCTCGGGCGATTTTCTTTTATCTCAGCGCCTTAAGCAGGCATGATGTAAGCATTAGGTTTAACTTGATTGAATAACGCTTAAGTGCATATAATTACATTTCATCCATAAACGTGCATGCGTATTGCGATTACACTAATTGCAGACAGATATTCGCACGTAAAGTCAATTTAAATTAATTATATTTTAAGATCAGGTTTAACATGCTTAAATAAATGTGTGTTGGCTCTCTTGAGCGGACAACTACATGGAACAGCTCCCTTGAGCGGACATTAGACTAAGATATTTTAGCGTCCTACTTTTCTACTATTCTCTCATATTTTATTTATTTATTTTATTTATTTATTTATTAATGGTCGACAAAACGAGTGTCTTTCTCATTATTCAAAAGATTGTACAATATAATTATATGTTAAAAGCCTAGTTAAAGGATACAATTTTCTAAATAGCATCTCCGACCGATGGAGGTGTTTTATTTGCCAGTCCGGCCAGCTGTGCCCCTTTTCACAGCTAATTTTGTCAGTAACGCTATTAGAGCCTACATCTAAGCAGAAGGTTGTAAGTAGGAAAAATGTGATCTCAAGTGAAATTAAAAATAATCTTAATTTGCTATATTAATAAAGAAAATACAATAAATAGGAAAAAAGAAAGTATGAAAATTGTTAATAAAGTAAAGCAATGTAAGTTAGATAAAGAGTGTTAAGTGGATAGGACAAAGAGAAAAGTAATGGGAAATCACCGACACGGTGGGGGAAAATTTTTCAGCCTGTCCGGCTAGCTATGCCCCTGCTCATAGCTGGGAATGGTCAGCGACTTCCCGAGTAGATGCAAGAGTTCGGAACTTAAGTTCTTGTCATCTACAAGGGGTATTTACTTTGCGACCCTTTTAAGTTAATTGCATTCATTTAGAGTGGTTAGCAGACCGTTATTCTAGTATTAGTTGATTGCAACCAGGTTGCACGAGAAATAGCTAAGGGTTGTATTCAAATTGTTTAGTTCGATTATATCACGAGGAGCGTATGCAAATTATTTGAATTGTGAGATAGCATCTATAACAATTAAATAACAATGGGAATACTAATAAGCATTGAATGCATGTAAGGAAAATTGGAATCATGATGCACACATGTACATATGTATTCTAACTGCTGGCCGACTAACATGACAGATGACATAACAAGCTAAAGGTTAATTCGCTCAAGCTCAAAACAATTGTCAACAATTTAATACTCTGCCGAGTCGCTCGACACACAACCTAAAAGCTAAAAACTAAAAACTACGCTTTAAATTGCAAATTGAACAGATGAACACACGGTGACACATAAAGCTGGCAAACTAGAATTAATAACAGCGTTTCGTTGACATTAATTAAGTAAATCGCTGTTAAATTATACATACATACACACATTCATGCACACATACATGCACACACACATATGCATAGGCCAAATGGCACTGACAGCCGCTGTCAAGCGCGGGTATATTGAACTAATCAATAAAATCTCGCTAAAGATGACAAAATCCGAGTGGATGGCCATCAAAAATGCGGCAATCAGAGAATAACGACTAAGACATACCCTGTTATTCTAGATGTGGAAAGAATCGTACTAAGCAAGGATGTGCCAGCACGGAGTGAGGCAACAACAAATTAAAAAAAGCCCAACTTAAGACAAGGCAAAAATAACTTTAATTAACAATTTTATTTATACATTTAATTGAATATATATTATATATATATAAATATATTCAATTTACATTAAATTTAAATACATTTTTGGGCCGAATTTAATGAATGGCTTTCCAAAAGTCTTTTAAAATTTATATACATTTTTTATTTAATTTTTTATTATTAATTGAATATAATTTGTATATATTAATTTCTCTTGACTGACAACTAGAAGTTAATATATTATGTCAATATCCATATTGTAATCTTAAACTTGATCGAACCCGACAGCTGATTAACTCGCAGCTAAAAGAATGCGTTACACATTTCGTGATCAAACTAGAATACCCTTGCAAAGGGCACAACAACAACAACATAAGCAATTGATGGGCATCATTTGAATGCTACAAATAAATAAAAGTCACGCGAGGTGCGAGGTGCGTGGCGCAAGGTGGAGATGAAGGTGGAGTTGCTGGCGGTGGCTGACAACAAACTGCATGCATACATACATATAAACAACAATCTCTAACCGAAACTGAGCCGAGCCGAACCGAACCGAGCCGAATCGAACCGAACCGAACTGAAGCATCAGCCGAGCTAAAACGACAGCGACTTCGGCATCGACAACGACAACGACAACGACGTCGACGTCGAGGCGCGAGGCCGCACACACACCTTTAATTTAATTGCCATCAATTATGGTAAAAAGATTAAGAAATCAAAACAAGCGCAAAACGTACAAAAACATGAATAAGGCGAATGAGAAGCAAAACGAAACGAAATGTGTACAGGCAGACAGGCAGACAGACAGACTGTCACACAGCCACGCACACGCACACACGCTCAGACAGGTAGGCAACGGCATAGAGAGAGACAGCAACAGCGACAGCGACATACTCAAACTTGCAAATTGCGAGTAATTGAGCAGATTAAAGTCAAGCAGCGACAGCAACAGAGGAGGGAGCAGACCAGACAGGCGAGCGGTTAACAACAATAACAACATCAACAACGATGCCAAGCGAGATGTCGATTGAATACCGAATCGGCTGACGAACGATTAAAATCGTGAGCACGACAATCATAACACCAACACGAATGCACGCCGAGCTTCTAAATAGATACATGCGTGTGTGTGCAAAATGAGTGCTACAAAATATGCACACCCATACACACATTGATTGGTTGGTATGTAAATTGGTATAAAATTATGCAAAAATGCCAAAATTATATACGTGTGTGTATGTGTGTATTTATGTGTAGGCCAGACCAGCAAGACAACGCGAAAAAAAAATGAGACCAAAGACCAGTGTAAATAAGAGCGCAATGGAGCCGAACAAGAGAAAGCCAAACAGGCCAAGCGGAGCAGCAGCAGCTGAAGAAGTTGAATTAAGCAGCAAAAGACAACAAGCAACAAATGTGTCCCGACCAGAAATAAAAGAGAGCGGGCGGGAGAGAGAAACAGAGTGAGAGAGGGAGAGTAAACATGGGTGCCGAGGCCAAGTCGAAGCGAAGGTGGGGGCCAATTATCGAGCATGAGAGCGAATTTGCGGGGGTGTGAGAGAGAGAGTGTGTACGTGTATGTATGTGTGTGTGTGTGTGTGCGCGAGTTCGGCATAGGTGAATGAGGTGCCCAAAAAGACGTCCAAATCAAAACACACAGCGAAGGTAAAAGAAAATGTGCGCGCCAATATGTGGGAGCGCAGTCCATAAGTACTGTATGTATGTGTGTGTGTGTGCTTGAGGAGGGTATGAATGAGCACTAAAAGCTGAGCGTAAAACGCAGTTTGATGCTTAATTGCCACGAACACAAATACAACAAGAACAACGAACGCAACAGCAGCAGCCAATGTTAGATGCTGCTCTGCTACTGTTTGGATTTACATTGGGGCATATTAGATGAACGAATTTTCGAGCACGACACGAGCACGTTCATTTAAGTAATCAACAATTCTTTAAATATTTAATAATTAAGTATTTTTGTTTTGACATTTTTCATCCAAATCAAACAAGGTGTGCTTGAATTTATAATTTCTAGTTTTATATTTTATTTTATCTAATTGAAACGTGCGTGTTCGTGTCACGATTGAAGACACGACCCAGCCCTAGTTTGATTTGCTTTTGTTGGCGGTGGCGTTGGTAATTATGTGTGTGTGTGTGTGTGTGTTGGTGGTGGTGGTGGGTTCTTTCCAAATGGCAGCAGCTGCTGCACGCACTGCGAAATTTTGGGCAGAATGTTTAATACAAATGAAAAAACTAATATTTTGCCTGGCAATGTAAATAACTTTGGCACATTTGCGAGGTGTGCGCGGTAAGTTGACTACAGTTGCAGTTGCCATTACCGTTACCGTTGCCGTTGCGTCAGCTCAGCAGAGCGTAAAAACAGACGGCAACAAATTTGCGACGTTTCAATATTTCAGGCATTAGCCTACGGCCCACTGGCTGCTGCTGCTGTTAACTTTGAAAGGCAAATTTGCAAATAAACTAATACATGCACACACACACACACACACACACAATTACAAATGCATACATACACACAATATGAGCAATTACTCATTTAGCGCGTAGTTTCTCACGCTCACACACTTCAGATTCGGAATTCGCAGTTGTTTTTTTTTTTTTTTGATCGACAAAAAATGCCAAAGCAAAGATGGTGTCAAGAGAGCGCGCCCGAGAGAGAGAGAGGGACACAAGCACACACATAGCATATGCAAATAAATATAATAGAAACACGTAAAAAATATTTCGTAATTATTCATCAAAAAATTATCATCAGCGGCCGCAGCAGCCGCAGCTAACGACACAGACAACAACAACAATAACAGCAATAACAACAATAACAGAACTGAGAGAGCAATAACAGCAACAACAGCAATGACAGCGTCGAGCTGTCGTAAGCAAAGCAACTCGGGCCAATCGATTTGCCTGTTTTTCATTTTATTATACACATATTGTGCATGTGTGTGTATGCATGTGGTTGTGTATGCACATAATTTATTAAAAAGTTTTAACAGCAACGCAAACGATCAGCGCAATTTTAGTTATAAATACAAGCACTTGGCCGCTTTGGTGCGTGCTAGAGCCGAAATGTGCGAGAGACAGAGGGAGAGAGAGAGAGAGAGAGCGAGTGGGAGAGAGAAGCTAACATTTGATTTAAAATGAGAGCCGCGACAACAAAAACAATTAACTGTAGGTACTCACTAGACACATTAAACTGTTATTTGTTGATGCTGTTTTATTGGTTTGTTTGTTGCTGCTGTCTCTATTTTTCGCTCTCTCGCTCACGATGAATGTATGTGTGTGTGTGAGTGTGTGAACCGACTACCGTTGTTGTTGTTCAACTTGCTTTCTATAGTATTTAATAATGCACGTATGTTTGTAAATAACGAAACGACGTAGATAAAAATGTATTTAGATACATTTAACCGTACAATTTGTAGGCTTTGGCTATTTGGCGGCGTCGCGATTTTCGTTTCGGTGTAAACTAACTACAACAACTATACATGACAATAATCTAACTATGTATGTACGAATGTAAGTAAATGTACGTATTTATGCATGTAAATGAGGTGTTAGTTTAAGTGTCAAAATGCATTTGTTAGAAACGATGCGATTCGATGACTACATAAGGGGAAAAAAAAAAAAACAAAACGCGAGGTCTGACTCATCGGTCAAAACAAATGCGCCGACAACGCCTGGCCGTAAAATTGTGTATTTACCTTTTGATGTAGTTGTTCCTTAAATTGTTGTTGCTATGTATCCAACTATTTAGGGCTTGTGTTAAAACATAATTCGCCTTGCACAATTGCACAAGTGCACACAGAAAATTGAACATACAACATTCATATGCAGACGACTTGTTCGATATTCGGTATTTTTCGTTTTTATTTTCGTTCACTTATTTGTTGGTTTTTGCTTTGCTCTCGCATTCGCCTGCTTGGCGCGCTTGCTCTCTCATTGACGAAACATAAAACAGCGCAATGAACACTCACGCACACAAGCACACATTCAACACTAGCTTACGCTCTATTTCTCTCTCGCGCCCGCGCGTTATTTATACATATATACAGTTGCGTGTGTGTGAGCGAATGTCTGTATGTATTTTACGATGATGAAAAAAAGGCTACCTCTTCACAAATCAGGTTTTCAGCTTTTTATTTCACATTTTAAGGCATTTGACAATGCAATTTGAATTACTATACACTTTATAGAACACTAATAAACACTTTTCACAACAAATTATTAATTTTTTGCGACATTTTCCCGATTTTTAACGAAATTTCTCGAGCAGCTTCTGTACGCTCGCAGTTGCCAGATATCATCGCGTATCGATATTAAAAATTCCACTCTGCGCAGATACCGCATTATCGATAGTATCGCTACTGCAGTATGGATGAATTAATATCGCATATCTTTAAGGACAACAATGCTGATTTACTAATTTAATAATGTAATAATATTTGAATATACAACTATTAGTGAAAGACGAAAGGCCAATAAGTTGTTTTTATCAACTTCTAACTCAATTGGCGATGTTAAGTAGAAATCGCAATTTGAGCTATAGCGACACCTGGCGGAATGTTACGAAGACTCCAGAAACAGTTAGATATTTGAATATTGGAGGGATTTAATTTTGCTTTTATTACAAAAACTTAAACCATTATTCACAATATTCTTGCGTACTTGAAAAATTCTCTTCAGAATTAATTAAGCTTGTCTGCTGGGCAATAATTGCGTTATAAGCTTGCATTTTTTTTGCCACCAATTGTCGCACCCGCGTCTTCATTTCAGCTATAGAATTTTTAAAATCATCCAAGCGTGACTCCAGAATATCATTTATCTCATTCACCGCCTCGATCAGAGTTTCATCAACGGGAAAACAGGTCAAAGCGTTCTGGAACATGACACGCAACTTCTCGACAAACTCCTCAAAGCTATCGAATTGATTGTTCTCCAGCCTGTTCCTGAGAATATCCCAGTCCAGCTTCTCCTCGGCATCGTGATCGTAATGCAAATTCTGGGCATATTCGCGCCAGAGGTCGCAGCACTTGAAGGGCCAATTGACCAGGTTACGCTTGCGCTTGGTCATGCCACGGAGCAGCTGCTCCGAGTGACTCTTCTCGACGAGATAGTTCTGCCATTCGTACAGAATGGTTGGATTCACCTCGAACTTGATGGGCTCCGAGTAGAGTTCGGGCTCGGTGAAAATCTCAATTTCGGCTGGTGACCAAACAGTTTCCGTACTCGGTTTGGCCAGCTTTGGAGTAGCCGGTGTCACGCACTCATAGATTGGATTCAGCTGCATCATGGACTCGGCCTTGCGTTTCCTGAGCACGGCCTGCGGGATCAGCTCGGTCTCGTTGCTCATGTCGATGTAGGAGAGGCGCGTATAGAAGGCCTCGCGCAGCTCCTTGCCCGCCTTGTGCACCTCGCTGCCCTCCAGATTGTACAGCATGCAGTTCTCGAAGATTAGCTCAAAGTCGCCCAGCGCCTCGTCCGATTTCCAGTAATAGTTGTTGTTCAATCGCCGCCGTATCGTGCTCAGATCCATCGGATGCTTTATCAAATTGTGATAGTCCGGTATGCAGAGAGCAACTGCATCCACCGGATATCGAAAATAGTAAGACCAGCGGCTCTTCCACACATACTTCAGCACAGACTTCAGGCTCTCCAGCACATTGGTTCTGCGTCCGCGCCGGCCCGGCGGCGGCATCACTGGCGGCTGGACAATCCCATTCACCGGATGGACATATGGCTCGTTACGTGGCGAGTTCTTCTGTTTGCGTTGGCCGCCCTCCACGTCCATCTTGATGAAGCTGCTCGCAGTTGGGCGAACTTTTCAACAGTCGAAGGCAAATCAACAAGAATATGGAGATTTCTGAAAACAAAATCTCTCAAGCTCGCCAGCCAAACAACTGCACCTGGTTGACATAAAATGCTGTGTCAACAAAAAAACAAACCAAAAACTGAAAATAGCAAAAAAATATAGAAATGTAAAAGAAATGTGAAAAAAAGTGAAGTATTTAGACTTCATATTGATCACCTCTCGTTCAGTCCAGAGTGTGCGACAGTTAAATAACTTTGACAAGCACTTGACAGCGACCTCACATTCAGTCAAAGGACAAACACTTCAGATGTGAAATTTTTTAAAAATACCAAGAATTTCCAGTCGAAAATGTAGCTGCCCCACATGGTGGAAAAATCTCTCTGTATTAATCTTTCGCTAGAATCGATAAATATCGATTTTGAAACTTGGTTCTTTGAGCATTCTATTTAGTATATCTTAAAGTATACACACAAAATTCGCTTTCTCTTTTTCCCACGCCTTTAGCTCACTTTTGCTTGTTTCCTCTCCCACAAACAACGCCCTTCTATGCAATTCTCATTTCCTCGACCTGTCAACGTTAATTTTTGATGAAACTTACTTGTTAAAATAATAATTAAATAGAATTTTATGTATAACTACATTACAATACCGAAAATTGAATTTATAAATATCGCCCTTCTATGCAAGTCTCAATTCTCCTCAGGCACTGCACAATTTTTCAACTTGTTATTATGTAGTTCATAGAATATAATTATTAACATAAATAATTTCGTTAAAATAATGCACATTGAAACTCTAAAAGTTTATTGCAAATAAGACTTTCGACTTGCTTTAGGAGCCCAAGCATTCCCAGACTTGAAATACCCTGTAATATCAAAGTCGAGGAACTTCATTTATTATCATCTTCTGGCCATTTCCCGTCCATGTTCCCAGCTCCATTTTTCCAGCCACGGCGATTAGCACGGCTAATCAATTCGTTAGGGGTATTCCGCTTTAAAAGCTGAGGCGAGTCTCGCGTATTTATTTCTGTTTGCAAACTTGCATACAAAATGTTGTCTAGCTACTTGCTGGTACAGCTGCTGCTGCTCCTAAAACTGGCGGTCGTTGAGAACTCTGTGGCCACGTCAACGCATGACATGGCGCGAGTGCTCCAAGGCGAGAACGATCTGCTCACGGATTTGCGCCTCTACGTGGCCGGTCTGGAACGCAAGGTGAATCTCACCCGCTTGTAAGTGGAGCCAGAGAGCTGAAGGTTATATCGAATAACTATACATATATATAGGATTCTGGATGATGCCATCAAGCGGCAGCAGCAGGCCAGAATCGATCCGGAGGCCTATGTGGCCAATCCGCTGAACAGTCTGCCTTTGGTGCGGCGCATGCACATGGATGCGGGCAAGATACTGAAGAGCATGAAGCTGGAACCGGCTGCAGGTGGGTGGAAGCTGAAAGATGACAGATGCCCCGACAGATATTTGATGCAAGTTGTCCACAGATCAGCAGCAGATATCGGACTATCGCCTGGACGTGATTACCGAAACGGATCTGGAGGAGGCGATCAAGGGCTTGCTGCGCATACAGCAGATCTATGAGCTGGACGAGCGGCACATGGTGCAGGGCCAGCTCAGCCAGAAGCAATACAAGTAGGTCTCCGGACACTAGACACGGGCACAACTCCAATCTTTCATTGCAGCGCCAGGCTGAGCACACTCGACTGCCTGGCCGTGGCACGGCATCTGCGCAAGAACGGCGAGGACGAGCAGGCCATCAGGTGGCTGGAGCTGGCGCTGGAGCAGTACCCGGGCACGCCGGAACCCGTCTACCAGCTGCTGAAGATCGACCGTGCGGCAATACTGCGCGAACTAGCACACATTCAAATAACCCGGGGTTAGTTGTTAAATTCCAAATAAAGTCAGATCCGCCGCTTGAAAGGCTCGTTCGCTTGCAGACAATTGGCCAGCCGTGGGGCGCAGCTATGCACAGGTGTTGGAGCATGCCAGCAGAGCGCAGGACAAACAGGAAGCTCTGGCTTTCATTGCGGCTGCCAAGCAGCATCTCGTGCACTTGCGCCTTTGTCGCGGGCACAGTCTTCCCTTAGTCAGCTCCTCGCTGCGCTGTCGCTACAATACGGCGTCGGCGCCCTTTCTGCGCCTGGCGCCACTCAAGCTCGAGCAGCTGAGCCTGGATCCCTACATGGTGCTCTATCACGATGTCGTCCAGGCCAACGAGCGCGAGCACATCATGCAACTGGCCAAGCCCCATTTGCGTCGCGCCCTTGTGGGCGCAGCCAGGGCGCACTCTCAACGCTTTGCTATGAACGCGGGCTTCTCCTACAACGATTCACGTCAAGGACAGCGCCTGCGTCAACGGCTCGAGGACATGTCCGGCTTCGATCTGACCAACAGCGGCCAGCTGGCCGTGCTCAACTATGGCATTGGCGGGCAGTACTATATGCACTACGATTGCTGGTTCAGCCAAGACGACGTGAGTTCCAAGTCTCCTAACTTACATCACTTTAGCCTTCCTTCCTGACTGACTGATTGACTGACTGATTGACTGATTGACTGACAATCAATGCAAAGTTCAAAACAAAAGTCAGAAGTTACAAAAGATCGGGCCATTTACCCGATCGCAATGCGACAAATCCTCCAATCCACCAAAGAGAGCGGAAAATGAGCGAAAAGCTGTTAAACTGACTCTATGACACTATAGCATATGGATCTATAAGAAGAAGGAAAAATCTACCGTTTTCCGAGACATTTCGAGCTATACAATTCACCTTGCACATTTGCGAAAGGGTATATAAACTTCGGCCTGTGGGAAACATCTCCGAATCCATAAAGTAGAATCTGTGAAAGCTAGAATAGAGAAGTATAGCTCTGGGCTGGGTAGAAGAAGAAGCTGCTGGCACAGACAGAATAGACGCCTTTGGTACAGGGTATTTGCCAGTCAGGCTAGTCAGTTTGCCTGCCAAAGCTCTTCTCTCTAAATTGTGGATGCGAATACTTTGACTTGCGGGATATGAGTTGGTGGAGTACCCTCTCCAAGGGCACATTTTAAATTGTTTATTAATGTTCTTTGGTTATGTAAATCTTACTTTGAGTATTTGTTGTTTGGCAGGCTGCCCAAGTTGCGTCCATCAAAGATAATCGCATTGCCACCATTTTGCTCTACGTAAGTTGAGGGCTTAATTGCCGCCTTCTATGTGTCGCCCCTTTGCCTTCTATTGGCCGGGCTTGGCCCGCTTTTCTGCTTGCAGCTGACGGACGTGCAGCTCGGCGGACTCACCTCCTTTCCGGCCCTGGGCCTGGCCGTGCAGCCGAGCCCGGGCTCGGCCCTGATCTGGCACAATATGAACAATGCGGCCGAATGCGACAGACGGACGCTGCACGCCGCCTGCCCACTTCTACTGGGCACTCGCTGGGGTAGGCACAGTTACCCACTTAATATATACATTATATATATATATATATTTTCCACATATCTAACATTTAGTGGCCACGCAGTGGATCGATGTGAAGGGCCAATGGCGCACCAAGCGCTGCCTGGCGAACCCCTCGAATTAATTGATACAAAAAAAAAAGATTGGGTAGAAAAACATTTGCATAAGTTTTTGCGATAATTTATTCAATAATTTGTCGTTAATTATATTTATGCACTATTTTATAGTATTCGTGTTTAATTTATATGCAATGTAACATTATGCGACATATTTTTCGGGAATCGGGCATTTATTTTGTGGCTTACATTTATTAGAGCCACATTTTCTTTTTTTTGTTTTAACGCTATTTTTGCATTTCATTATCTTGAGGGGGGGCGGGGCGTTGAACAACAATTTGCGCGATACGTATGTGAATGATATGGGTTTGGGTTGGGTTGGGTTGGGTTGGGGGGGAGGGGGGGGGGGGGGGGGGGGGGGGGGCGTGGTGTGGGTTGGCGGCCGCCCACAGCGCTAGCAATATCGCTGCCACGAAATCAAAACAAAAAAACAAGAAAGCCTAAATAAAAACAAACAATAGCGTGGATGTGTGGACGGTGGAGGGGGTGTTGGGGGTGCTTGAGCGGGAGCGTAAGCAACACATTCGATTATGGATGGGGTGCGGGTGCGTCTCACGGGCTGGGTAACACCTGTAGGAATACTTGTTTGCCGGCTCTCGCTCAGTTTTGATATCACGCGCTCCATGCCCAGAGCAACAGGGCGAGGGGCGGCTGCAGAAGACGAGCGGCTTGCCTGGAGGCGGCCAGATTGCGCGCCGCCTCCTCGAGACCTGCTGGCAACAGAAATCATTAATTGGCTTTGAGAATTGGAGAACGTATGGAGCTTGGTAGCTTACCGCCAATGAAATTGTGATGCTCATCGTTGCTGGACGAGGCGCCCGGATGTAGCTTGATTTCTGCAAGGTCAAAGTTTAGTCAAAAATCCCCATGGGACAACTGCTGGCAGATAACTCATACGCACCGTATAAACGCAGCGTGCCCTCGGCACGGCCCAGCGAATTTGTGCTGACGCAATGATAGGTGCCCACATCGGAGGGTGAAAAGGAGCGCACCACCAGCAACATGACGCCGCGATAGCCATCGCGCTTCTCGGTGATGCCATATTTGGGCCTGAACAGTGAATTCGGATTCGCATTCTATATTCTATTTTGCTGTGGCCAAAACAATGGACTTTTGGCTACTCACCCGTCCAGCAGCATTTCGGGTCCGGGCGAGCCCGCCTCCAGGCTGGACGTCGAGATGCTGGCAAAGCCATTCGATGTGCGCGCCCCCTTCAGCCAGTAGGAAACGGGCGACGGCGATGCCTCCACCTGGCACTCCAGCTGCACATCAGAGCCGAGCGGCGTGCCCAGCAGCTGGCTAGGCGCACGCACCATGGGCGCAACTGTAAATTGAGCAGGAATGAGCTCTGAATGGGTCTGGCCACAGAGAGGTAGACACTTACATTGAACGCTGAGCGAGACCCGTTTGCTGACGGCCGGCGGCACATCGTTGGATGCGATGCACAGGTAGGCGCCCATCTGGCGCCGCTCCAGGCGCAGCAATCTCAGCGAGGAGCCATTGTAGGTTTCCACTGTATGTTAGATTGGGCTTGGCTGTTAGTTGCCGGCGCTTTATTGTGGCACTGTGGCCCGAAACTCACCTTTCATGAGCTCGCGACTGCCCGGCTTGCGTATGAGTATCATTTCGCCGTCCTCGCGTCGCCAGATGACACGCGGCTGCGGGTTGCCCGTGGCCTTGCATGTCAGCGTCGCATCCTCGCCCTCCTGCACGGCCAGATCCGCCGAGGAGTCCTCGTTAATAATGTCGGGCGGCACTGTACGCACTCAATATTCCATTATCTGCGCCACAATTGAACAATTCTCAATACGCACCTTGCACATCGATGCAGCCCACCTGCTTCTTCATGGGACTCGTGTTTATCTGGCACATGTAGCAGCCGCGATCACTCTCACGCAGCTTGCTGATCTTCAGCTTCCAGCTAATTGCAATTAAACAATTAAACATTTAAGGTAAAAATAATTAAAATATATTCTTCTACAATTCTCAACAAAGTTGGACACAATTTGGATAGAAAGATATGTAGAATATCTTGTAAGGCCTTGAAACCAAACCTGTTCTAAGTCTGAGCTGTCACTAGATAAACAACTTTTGAATTGCGACCTACCAAAGTAAGTAGCAAACATTCTGAGATAGATAATCCAGATTTGAAATCAGCTTAAGGTCAGTTTGAATAACTGAATGTTCCTGGAAGCTGAGCCTGAGATTGGTTTTCGTGGGTGATCAAGTTTTATTTCCTGTTCAAAATCTGTGATATCTCGACGGGCTATTGAAATCCCGAAGCAAGCTGCAAAGCTGCTCATCAAAGCGTTGCTGATGCCCATTTGGATTCCATGTTCCCATGGGATTAACAGACCAGCTTCATTGACTATGAATAGTTCAAGCCAAGGCCTCCCATCGAACGTGATCTCCGTCTAAGAAAGGTGGAGATATCCCCAGCTGAAACACAAACACTTCACCGTGGATACCCTTTCAATGTAAGCTACACAACATTCTAATTACACACCCTACTATGGGAGTCTTTCGCTTGAAAGAGATCAGAAGTTATTGAACAAAGTGAATTGACTAAGGGACCTGTTTGTGAGTTCATATTTATTAAATTGTAACATTTCCCGACGGTCCTTTGTTCGTGTCCCTTTTTTGGTTATGCCAGTACATCTTTTTCGCGCTGCCTTGCGCCAATTTTCCCGCGCAACCCAGTCAATTTTTCATTTAACAAAAGAGATAATAAAAAAGAGACCCAAACAACAGCCCCATTTGCGCTTTAACACATAAAACAAATTGCCCGACGTCGGCGAAGTCAAGTGAATAATGTTGAAAATGGAAGTAAAACCGAAATTTGTTGTGCAAAACAGCTCGATATTCTCTAAATAACAATTGTACAATAACTGCCGAAATGCTCTGTACTCACGTGTGCATATCCTGATGCATCACACTGATCCTGGCGTTGTGCGTGACGACGCGTCCCTGGAGTGCGAGCACCGTTTGATCGGATGCACGCAGCCAGCCAACCTGAGAAGAAAGTCAGAAATTGCAACTGCCAATCGAGGAATGGAGATGGAGTACAGTTGCCTGTGGATAACCTACTTTGTTCTTGCCCAGATTGCGCACCGAGCAGGCCAAGACGGCCTCGCGACCAGCCGGATATGTCACATTGTTGATGAAGCCAATAAACTCCGGATCGGGATCCAGCTGTGAGTTTGACTCTGTGCACAGCAAGTGGCAACAAATTGGATTAGAATTTAATGTGTGGCCAATGGCCCAAACTCTGCTTACCATGATGCTGATTCTGTGGATAGCCGTTGGCGCATTTGGTGGCCATTATCAAAATGACAAAGAGCGGGCCTAAATGGCTCTTCATTTTGTTTCTGCTGCTGTGCTTCATGTTCTTCTCGTTCTTCTCGTTGTTGTTCTCGTTGTTATTGTTGTTGTTGTTGTGATTGTTGCTGCTGCGGCTTGTTTTTGCGCTTTGCAGCTGACGTTTGTTATTGGCAGCAGCTGTTGCTCGATTCGCTGCTTTTGTTATTTATTTCTTATGTGTTTTTTTTGTTGCGACCACCACCACAATTTCTATTTGCATTTGAATTTCTATTGCTATGGCTATTTGCCGCATGCGTTGTTTGTGCAAATTGCGCAAGGGGCTTTGATTTCACTGCATTTGCATCATTTCCAAGTGCTGTTGACATCTGCAAGCGAATAGCAAAGAAAAAAATGCCAAAATTCAAATAACAACCAAACAAAACATCAAAAATTGCTTCCAAATTTATTTCACAGCACTTACACACACACACACACACAGCACACACACACACAGCAAATGGAGTTTAGTTTAAGTGCTGCAACAATAGCAATCAACAACAGGGGAGGGGTAGGGGGGTAGGGGGGTTGACTGCCCAACTCTGTTAAGTTGATTATGTGCGGCGCACAGTTTTACAATTTTCCGCTGCCTGCTTTTAGGCGCGGCCAATATGGCGCGAGGCCCGTGGCCGTCTCTATCTTCTTCAGTCGCCGCTCAACGTAAAGGCAAATGCAATTTTCAACACAAACACGAATTTATGGCATGGCCAACGGCACCGGGCACGCCCTTTGCCGCCCAGGCAGCCGGCAGCAATAAAAAAGAGGCCAAGAACTAAAAATAGAAAAGAACAGCAAAAATGTACGAGTTTTCAGCGTTGGCGTTGGCGCAGCCAAAGGTGCAAAATATGAATGTAAATATTAAAAAAGTTTCAAGACGCAAAAAACTAACGAGATGTTCGCTCATTTGCTTGCCCCCGCCCCCAAGCCATGCCGCATGCCCCGTGCCACATGCCCCGCGCTCGACAAGCCACATGGCAGCCCGCTGCTGCACTTTGACGCATCTGTAATTTAATTTCTGTGTGAAATTGAGCGCTGGGCTAATACTAAATTTGCACTAAACCAGTTAGTAAGCCCGGACGAACTGCAGCAAGACGGGGCCCGGCAGGGCGGCAGGGCCAAATGCTTTGCAAACTTTTGACGAGGTGTCAATGCGATGCCACTGGGCTAAAATGCGCCAAATGCCGACGCGTCGTTCCATGCCAGCCGGAGAAAGGCAACTTTCAGCGGCGGAAATGCGATTTGCTTATTGAATTACCTTTTGGTTGTGCCGAGTGGCGACACTGGAGCCATGCGCCATGTGCCATGTGCCAGCCGGAGCACAACACGTTGCATTCAAAAATGATATTGTTCACTTACACAAAATAAATTCAATTCATTTCAGATCTTTGCGATCCGTTGGATTTCGTGATGCATTCATTAAGGCAGGTAAGCTTATTATTATAAATTTAAAAGTGAATATGTGTCTTTCGCAATTATTTTTCACTTTAACATTAATTTTAGATATTCCTTTTTTTCAAGTTAAAAGTTATTTTCAACTTTTCCAAAGAAAGTTGTCGCATAAAAACTCATCAAATTAAATGCACGTCAAATATCTTTTAAAGCACATATGTATATTTATAAAAATCTTCTTGTATATCTCTTCTATATAACCTGACTGATTGATTGACT